AAAACTGTTCAAAAATGATGACGTCAAATTTTCAAACTCAATTTTTGGCAATTCTAGAACTTGTAGAGCAAAACGAAGACCACCATTAGACTCCCCGGGACGAGCTGCATCGAATCGATACCCATTTTATGCAAAAATATCAACTTTGAAATTTGACCTAATTTGACCTGACCTTGACCTGACCTTCACAAAAACGTGACCTAGGCTGGCCCCAAAGGCTGCCTAACCCACATAATCGCATTTGTCATATAAAATGGACCATAAAACATGTATCACACGACACATTCATATTGTGACCCCCGGTGACCTGACCTCGCTGTGACCTGACCTGGTATCAGTGACCTCAGATAGCAAAGTATGTGTTTGACGAACAATGTACCATCGATGGTTTTCAATAAATTACCAATTTACTCGCTTTCACAGCACATTTCTTGAATTGCCTGTGAACGGTGAAAATCTGACCTTTGACCCGACCTGTGACGTCATCGGTTTGACCTAGGTCAATGAAATTTGGTCACAAGGTAGTTCCCGGGTGGGGCTATCGAACACCGTTTAAATTTTGAAAATCAGCCGGTAACTTTCCGAGATCTTAGGGGGGGGCCGAAACGCCCCCCCCCCCTACGGGTGGTAGGGTCCGCCGGTAGCCCTACGGGGCGCGGGTTAAGCAGGGAGTCACCGATGTTAGATCCCTCTCTGGGTCCTTTCATAGGTCACGGTCCTGACCCGAGATAGCTGAGCTGTGTCGCAGCCCTGACCTCAGGGCTCAGACAGCTGAGCTGTGCACGCCGTCGGCTCGGCCGTCAGTCGCCACAGCCGCTGACGCCAGTGTCCAAACAGCTCCAAACAATATCCGGCCCTGTATAGCAGGATAAGCCATCAGAGGCGGGAGTGATCAATGGAGGGACGCGAAACACTAACGCCAAGGGGATGACAACTGCTGAGGAATAAAGAAACTACATGCAGGTACACTGGGAACACGTCATGCTGGAGTTGACGTGTTCCCAGCCCGTCCTGTACCATGCAGCCCGTTCCGGTGATCACTCCCGCAGGGCCGGATATTGTTGGGAGCTGTTTGGACACTGGCGTCAGCGGCTGTGGCGACTGACGGCCGAGCCGATGGCGTGCACAGCTCAGCTGTCTGAGGTCAGGGCTGCGACACAGCTCAGCTATCTCGGGTCAGGACCGTGACCCCCTATGAAAAGACCCAGAGAGGGATCTAACATCGGTGAGTCCCTGCTTAACCCTAACAATCCCTACTTTTTTCTCCGCGCTATAAAAAAACACATGCGAGTTATAAAAAAACACATCCCTATCAACCAGTCCCAAACAGTGTACCAAATTTGAGCGCAATCGGCGTGGCAGTTCAGGGTTCAAGATATATGAGCAACCCAAAATCGCTACTGCAGCAGAATAACGAACACTCTTGGCCCTTCACGTCGCACGTGTCACGACGCTCACCATGATACATCAGTTGTAGTCAATAACTCACCAAGATACATCAGTTGTAGTCAATAACGAGATGGAAGGGATAGGATTACGCGCAACAAAGAGTAACGCAGGTCAATCAGCCCAGCGGTTGCTGACTTACAAGCCTATTAAAAACGTTACAGGAATACGCTTCGCTAGCTCAAAGGTAATTACGGAGCGAGCGAAGCGAGCGTAGTCTTTCCTTAGATTAACAGAAATTTCTGAGTATGAGCGGCCGGCCGGCCGGCCGGCCGGCCTGCCGGCCGGCCGGCCGTGGTCACGCTTTTGCGAGGCTTATATCTCAGCAACCACTTGACCGATTTACACGCGGTAATTTTTGTAGGGTAGCTTCATTCCTTCTACCAAGTATTGGACTATTCCTGATGCATGTGGGTGACCCCTTATGCACGTGCCACGTGCAAAACGAAGAGGTGTCCGTTTTGTAATTGTTGCAATATCTCGGTAACTACTTGGCCGATTGCGCTGAAAGTTGGCATGTAGGTAGGCACCCACTAGGCACTGCATATCCATGTGCCAGAGTTGGGGCGCTGCTGCACGTGCGCACGTGCAGGGGTCGTTTCCAGATCTCGAGAACGGCTCGACCGATTGCGCTCAAATTTGGTACACAGTTAGGGACCGGTTAGTAGGGTGCCGTGCACATGTCAGTTGGGACCCACTTTGCACGTGCGCACGTGCAGGGTGCCGCTTCCAGATCTCGAGAACGGCTGGGCCAATTGTGCCCAAATTTGGCACATCGCTAGAGACCGGTTAGTAGGGTGCCGTGCACAAGTCAGTTGGAGGTACCCCTCGCAATTTCGCACGTGCAAGGCCCACCCTCTCCCTCGCTCCGTTAGTCGCCCCAAAAGGCGTTATACTGGTAGAGTAGAATCATTACATATATGCAATTGCTACTATTTCCTGTTTTTCTTTATAGGCCAAGACTTCGTAACTGATAACTCTGCTGCCCTGTAATGGGTCCGGCCCGCTGTGGCGAGTGAAGACACTCGCTCTGACTGACTGGACCGCCAGCCGAGACGCTGCTGACTCTGGTGGTGAATGGTGAGCGGAAGAGGAGAAAGTTTACGCCAAAGCTGAAGCCAGGGCTGGTAAAAATGGTTTTGGTGGCTCTGACCAAATTTTCGGCCATGAAAAGTGGCTCCCAACACGGGTAACAGAAGAGGCTTGAAAGTGCAGTGAACAACGTCCTTTTTCAGGAACACCTTAAACGTCATCAGTAACTATTTTAGTTTTACTTATAGCTCACTGATGTATCCTGATTTTAGGACATCGCCTGGTGTCAAACACAGCAAAAGAATGTAGGTAGGTATATAATTTCTTCTACTTTTGTTTAAGCTGATTGGTGACAGAAATGTAAGGCACAAATGCATGTAAGGCAATGAATGTTGTTGACAAAAAAAATATAATACTGACTCACCAACAGAGGAAATTTCATCATCTCACCCACTAGCATAGATCTTCCGCAGGCTGGTCATTGTCTGCATCATCTGAGATACACATGATTGATGATGTCCTAGGCTGAGAACTGTAACAAAAAGGCACTATAAGTGAAAGTCTAATATTAATTTTAGTTACAAAATGCCTGAAATATAAATCAGGATTGCTTATATAAGCTTAGTTTGAGTATGACGTACCAAAAAGAAAAACATGCAGAAGAGGAACATATCTTAATCTTCAAAATTTAATTTGATTTTGTAACAAATATGCTAACCATACTGGGTTGGTTGGCAAATAAGTGAGTATCTTTAGCCACTTGAGTTAGGTATCCGTATGCATCTTCAAAATAAAAACAAGCGCCATATATATGTCTAGCTCCACAGCTTGACCAGCTTAAAATATTGAGGTAGGTGGTCTATGATATTGCTATGAGATGTACTATACAGAAAAGGAGCAACTTCAAATCCAAACGAACAACAACCAACATACCATGAAATGTACAGTTTGCCCGTGCCGCAACCAGCCGCAACCCTGCATGTCCTGCATTGATAAAAATGAAAAGGCCACTTGAATATCATTATTTGTGTTCTAAACTAGTCGGTAATACAGTGAACCGCCAATGGTAGAAGGCTCTGTGGCTCCCCGTTCCCTCAACACTAGGTCCTCATCAACTGATAAAAGTTACGGAGCCCTATTCTCCGTAGTGTTAAAGCTGGAAATCGACTGATGGCTCTTCGACTGATGAATGCTGACGCTGTTCGCGGTAAGCATTTACAGCTATTCTGAATAGGCTACCAGCTTTGTACTTTGTAGACAAACATTGCGCATAAGACCTCATTGGGAAATTGAATGCTGCTACTAATTTAATATTCGTGCTCAGGCATCTTGTATTTAAAGGTTTGTCGTAGAAATAAAATAAAAATATGAAACAAAACTTAACAGTTATCCTGCACATGCATACTTGCGTTGAAACGCTTATTTCTGGCTCCCTAAATAGCTTGTACAGCTATTGTTCTGGCTCCGATATTATCAGCGAATCGGCGCTTTTTACCAGCCCTGGCTGAAGCAACTCTACATTGCTGTACAGCTAATACGCTTTTCACCTGGTGGCCAGTAGAGGAACTAACAGTTACTACAACTGACCGTCAGAAGCACCCAACACACACCGTGCCGCTCCCAGTAACATACCAGGATGTAGACCCCAGTCGGGCAGCGCTCCGGCGTCCGGCAGCCGCAGCTGGTCCAGCAGTGACAGCAGCCGGCCGGCGCTGCCCTCCGGCGCCGTCCGACAGGCGTTCACGGCCACCACCCTGACGGACAGACGTTACACGGTCAGCAGAGAGCCGACACTCGGTCAGCGGACAGTGGCGTTGGGTCACCGGATGGCAGAGCATCGCCGCAGCACACAGACCAGACAGGACTGTGCCGACAACGCAACCCCGTTGGAGTAACATGACCCTAATATATGCACCGAAAATGCTCTGGTCTATCTCCATTATTTATAATAATAAAAAAATGAAAGAACAACTGAGATGAGGGAAAGGAGTGAGGCGTCTGTTAGGGTCCCCGTGCAATACGCCCGGTGCGGTGACTGACCTCTGCGCCGCTAGCTGGAGAGCTGGTTCACCCGGCTGACGACCTTCTGTACCTCCTCGGCGGAGAGCGGGTGGCCGTTGGTGGCCCGCCGCAGCCCGTCCCGGTAGCCGGCCGCCCCATCCGGCGACACGCCCTGGGGAGTCATAGCATAACACTCAGGCAGGTTCAGGTTTCAGTCCGACACACAACCGTCCGGCGACACGCCCTGGGGGCGACACATGGGCGCGCTCAGGGCTCAGGTACAGGTCTCGCGAGATTAAGCGGTAGGTTTTGCACTTTTACATTTCCGGTTATATCTCAGAAACTAATCGATCTACGATGAAGCCATTTTACACGATCATGGCCGGCTTGTTACCCAACAAGTCGATCGCATCTTCAACACTTAAAAGCTTAAGACGACGAAGATATAGTGTAGATGGCACAGCCGCCACTGTAGCAGCCACCACGTGGCTGAATAGCGCGGAGCGCCGAAAGACGAGCCGTTGACGAAGGACCTTTATTGCCCTTGTTACTGTGGGAGGCGCACGCACACACAGGGGTACACAGGTCAGTACCAAATCTCCCATCAGTAACCACAGTCCACACTGAATCCCTTCCGAAACGGTCACCTTTTGATAAACTGTACATATTACGTTACAGCGTTCTTAAACTCAACATATCGACAATAGCAGAACATAATAAACACTAGCTCCTACCGGCTGTTCCTCGTCTCCGCTGTGCGTGCCACTCGTCAACAGCGGCACCGCCGCACTCTGGGCCGTCAGGGGCCGGCCACTCAAACGCCCCGGCCGCGAGACCGCTCTCGGCTCCAGCCACGGGGGAAAGCGCACAGCTATCGACTGGCCTACACGTCCCCGGGCCAACCGGAGCGAGCCGAGCACCTACGAAGATTGAAACATTTTTAAATGGCGCACTTGAGGTACAAGAATATACGATATCAAAGAAATAAGCATAGAAAGCTAATTAAAGCATATACGAATTTACTGGTTTACACTGAAATAAATTCCATTCAACATTGAAGTGCTCCCAAATCCTATATAGTCAAACTTACTCATCAGCGTCGCGCTGGGACACACGCATCCACCCCTCATGAAGGTCGGGCGGGAAAAGAGCGCACACGCCGCTCGGAAACTGCGCCGACCCCCACCGGACACGATTTGGCAGCCGAGGTCTGTGACGTCAGCCGGGCGTGAAGTTTTCCCTTCACCATAGGCTTCACACACAAACTGGCCGAAGTTCATGCCAGGATAGCCCGGCTTGAAAGTGCAAAAATGATTAAATTTTGCCCTCAATAGATTCATTGCTTCATTTTATAACTAAAAACGTCCGTTATTAGGCCTCAATGAAGGTAAAAAGTACTCAAAATCGAAGTTCAAGAAGATGCTGTCCGAGCACAATCTGGTAACATCACGTGACCTCTTTTAAGCAGAATGTATATAATTCAAGGATGTTATTACACGATTGCTGCTTAAAACATCATAAATAATACGCTTGTAACATCTATTGCTTCTGTTTAAGTCAGAACATTGCAAAACGCAAAGTTTATCATGGCAGTCACGTGACCAAAGGTATAGCAGGGGTTGGGACAAGCACTCAAAGGATTTCAAGTTTTTTAATTAAATTATATACGTTTCATGATGAAATTGAAAGAATATATTTTTTCCTAATGAAATACAAATTTTCGTATGTAAAATATTTTCCTTATGGGCGAAATTCTCCATATAAGAAATGTCAGTGACGTCACCAGGGCTTTACTCAAAACATCCGACCAACATCCGACCTACCTGTTTCTTATAGGTATCTTGAACTGCGCCACAGCTCGGCTAGGTCACGTGACCTGCCAGCGTGTCACTCAAAAACTCGCGTCGCATCTCTTACATCGACGTGTCAACTAAACTTTAACCATAATCAAGCCATATTTTTATATAAGAAAAATAATCACACATGAAATACCGCCTCCGAACCAAATATTACCGAAACGCACTCCTTGACGATAAGAGATGCAAGTTTTACAGTAACAAACCACTCTGATCGGACAATCTAATCTCCGTCACTCAATACCGCGAGTACAATAGTGCACCTAACCTATCACTGGTGGCAAGGTTTGAAAAAGGATAGGAAAAAAGGTTAACAAGTCAAACGGATAACTGGGTTGCGGGACCCCCGCCACCCGCACCTCACTCAGGACCCGATAACAGCGACCCCTACAACCCGACACGGGCGCCGTCTACACTCCCCCATTCGAATGGCCATATCTTGTCATTCGAATCAACACAAAGGCGCCCGGGTGAACCCATTCACCGTCTACCTGCTGGTGAGAACCAACCCTCGACTGCCAGGGCAGCTAGCCGAGTTAACATACACTTAAATCTAATCACACGTAACAGTCTGGCACCTCAAAACCTACCCGCTGGCAAAACAAAAAACAAACAAACCTGCTGGCAAAAACAAACAGACACCCCTAGTGTCCGGTCAACACAGACTAGTCTGTCGCAAACAGGTTCTAGCTCGTAAAGAATCTATTTACGTTGACACCTTACACTAAGTCTTAAACTAGAGGCTCTCAGACTCTCGCACACATCTGACCCCGCACAGTACTAATCCAGGTCAGATTCAGAACTGACCAATACCATCTTGTGGATCGGTCTCAGGTACGTGGACTCACCTGTCCGAACTAGAGCCTTTCTCACGAGTCCGTCCTGACTGGGGAAAGCCTTAACTACCCTTCCTAGCCGCCACAGTCCCCGCGGCACGTTCTGATCAGCTAGGAGAACGACATCTCCCGGCTGCACATTTCTCGACTCCCGCGTCCATTTCTGGCGCGCCTGGAGAGAAAGCAGGTATTCACGTCTCCAGCGATACCAAAACTGCTGGGCCAAATACTGCACGTGTCGCCATCGACGTCTCGATAGCGAATCGGACTCTGAAAACTCTCCGGGTATCGGTCCGGCACTGCTCCTCAGAAATAGGAGATGCCCCGGGGTCAGAGGCTCCAGCTGACCGGAGCTAGTCGATACGTAAGTCAGTGGCCGGCTGTTCATAACAGACTCGATCTCGCAAAACAGCGTGCGAATCGATTCGTCATCCAGACGCTGCTGAGTAGGCATGGACCGCCATACCTTCCTGAATGTTCTGATCTGCCTCTCAACGCCACCTGCGAAGTGAGAAGCTGTGGGGGGATTGAATTGCCAGTCAATGCCCTGTTTCAGCGCGGCACGCTGCAAATCACCGTGACTGAGTTCGCTCAGCGCCTCGCGGAGCTCTCTGTCGGCCCCGGTCAGATTCGTCCCCATATCACTCCTGATCTGAACGATCTGACCCCGGCGAGCGCTGATCCTACGAATGGCGTTTATCAGCGAGTCTGTGCGCAACGAATCCAGAATCTCAACATGGACGCCTCGTGTCACGACACAGACACACATCAGACCGTAGCGTTTCCGCTCGGTCCGCCCGGTCTTAACCAAGATCGGCCCAAACACATCAAGCAGCACTGACGAGAATGCCGGTGTATCGGCTGCCACGCGCTCCTTTGGCAAGTCTGCCATGAGCTGCTTCTGAGGCCGCGCGTTCACCTTCCTGCACGTTACACATCTGCGAATGAGTCCCCGAATCTCAGGACCAGCGCCTATCACCCAGAAACGTTTCCTGACCTCCCAAAAAGTATGATCGCGGCCCTCATGGCCCACCCTCTCATGAGCCTCTCGGATCAACAGCTGGGTCACGTGATTCTTACGGGGCAGAATCACTGGGTGCTTCGCGCTCTCGGAAACACTCTCCGACCGACCGAGTCGGCCTCCCACGACCAGCAGGCCGTTCAGCATCTGCGGACGCAGCTTCGTCAGAGGACTGCTCATAGGCACTCCGACTGGGCCATCGTCACATCCCTCTCTCGGAAAATCAGCCAGGTCCCTCTGGGCGTGCCGCAAAACAATACGCTCTGCCCCGCACAGATCTGACACGGTCAGGTCAGTCCTTTCACCGTGTCCGCGCCGCCTCAGGCCTCTCCTTCTCGCCAGACACCATCTGCGGAAAGAGCCGTCACGCAGGACACAGAGGAAGCGATGATACCACGCCACCGCTCGCTTGAGTCGAAAAAAGGACGAGAAACTCCTGATCAGTAGATCGAAAGGGCTCTCGGGACCGGCGGCAAGCGACACCAGGGCTACAGGCGAAGACTTTACCTCGGAAACGGGAACCGACACAGATACTGCCGGTTCCTCCGGCCATCCGCCGGCGCTCCCGAGAAGAAACTCTGGCCCTCCCAGCCACGGCTTCAGTCCCGCCGGCTGACAGCCACGAGATCCAACATCAGCCGGGTTCACTGTCGAAGGCACATACGCCCAGTCACTCACTTTGGAGCCGTCATGGATGTACGCCAACCGGTTTGCCACAAAAGTCTTAAATCTCGTCGTCCGGTTCCTGACGTAGGCCAGTACTACCATACTGTCAGTCCACATGTGGAAAGAGTCGAATTGGGTGTCTAGCTCTCTCTCAAGCACCCGTCTCACCCTCACGGCCAGCACTGCGGCGGCTAGCTCGAGCCGCGGCACAGACACGAACCGCACGGGATTCACAAGCGACTTACCCAAGAGAAACGTCACAAAACACCGGACCTCCCCGTCCGGGGTACGAACTTCCCTTCTCAGGTATGCCACTGCAGAGTACGCGGTCTCGCTAGCGTCAGCGAAGACATGTAGCTGAGTGCTCAACACCTCTCCAGGCGGGCCCACGATACACCTCTCCAGCTGAACACTGTCCAGCTCCCTGGCACCGGCCAGCCACTCCTCCCACTCCCCCGTCAAGGCATCAGACAGAGGCTCGTCCCACCCACAGGAAACCGCACACAGCCTCTGCAGCAGCACCCGACCGAGCAGGGTCACTGGCGACACGATACCGAGAGGGTCAAACACCGAACTTACGGTGGACAGTATGCCGCGCCTCGTCACCGGCTTGTGCCGGTCGTTGAACTGGAAAACAAAAGAGTCCTTCTCGACAGACCACTTCAGTCCAAGCGCACGCTCAGAGCCCAGAGCGTCCTTATCTAAATCCACTGCCTTAACCTGCTTACCTCTGTCTTCAAACGGAATCTGTTTCAGAAACTCTGACCGGTTGCTGGTGAACTTAGTCATGTTGAATGCACCGGTCCTGCAGAGATCTTTCAGGTCACGTGCCAGCTTCACAGCCTCCTCCACGGAGTCAGCAGCACATAGAGCGTCATCTACATACGTCTTACGGAGTAGAGCATCAGCGGCCTCAGGAAACTGCTCGCGACCCTCCTCTGCGCAGCGGCTCAGCGCGAAGCTGGCCACACTGCCACTTGACACCGCTCCGAAGACGTGCGACCTCATCCTCAGCACCTGCACGTCACCCTCTGGGTCGTCATCATGGAACCACAGGAATCTCAGCAGATCAGCATCTGCTTCCGGCACACGCACTCGATGATACATAGACTGGACGTCACATGTGAACGCGACACGCCCTTCCCGGAAGCGACAGAGCACCCCGAGAAGCGGATTTGTCAGGTTCGGACCCCCTCTCAGTAAGTCATTTAAACACACGCCATGGCTCCGGGCCGCGCAGTCAAAAACCACGCGCAGTTTTCCCTTCGCGGGCTCCTGCACGCCGTGGTGAGGAAGGTACCAGACCGGCCCACCTCCAACCTCACCGTCTGGCACTGGAACTGCGTAGCCGTCATCAACCAGTGACGAAATGACTCGTCGGTACGCGTCAAAATAGTCCGGATCAGACCTGAAGCGCCTCCGAAGAGAATCCAATCTCCTGGACGCCATCGGAAAGCTGTCCGGCAACTGGTCGAAATCCTTCTTAGGAAGTGGAATCACGAAGTGCCCCTCCTCGTCTCTCTTGACCCGTGGGAGCAAGTCAGACAGCCACTCCCTGTCCTCCACGGAAAGGCACTCCTTGTCGTCGGAAAGATCCTTAAACTCATGTTTTTTTTTTCTATGCCGCCACCCATTATCAGGTGACCAGGAGTGCCCCCTCCCTCTATCCCAGCGACACACAGAACCTTACGTTAACACCATAATAACTTAAAATTGCAAGTCGCGGCACTCCCTGCTAGGAAATGAAATGTAACATAAAAAAGCAGAAGGGAGAAAGCCATACGAATTAGGGGAACAAAAAAGAAGCAAAGTAGTCAACACTGCAATCAGTGGTGACTGCCCACTACTGAAAGCCCCCAATTTATCAGCACACTCACACATCCATCACACTCACAACACCCACACACGCCGGGGAAAGTGTCTAAGTCCACTGGGGCAGGTTAGTTAGAGGGGGATCCACAGTCATAGCCAAGTCATCATCAAACTCTGGTCAAATTCAGCGCATGTCAGTAGCAAGGTAGCCCGGGCTCCCAGAGCACCCAACGAAGCGAGGCTTGTTGCCGGGCACTCCAAGGTCCCAGGCCGCCAGGGGCGTCGCCGACGGGGGGGTCGGGGGGGGTCACGACCCCCCACTCTTGAAAACTGGGGGTGTCGACCCCCCCACTTTTTGCGATGCTGAGTATGCTTTTTTAGCTTTTATGTCAGTGAAGCAGGCGTCAGCAACACCAACAAATACATCAGATTCAAAATCGCTTCAAGAGCTCCCTAAAGCCAATTAGCCAATTACCTAGAGGTCAATTAGCTGTGGGCGGGGAACACCAGCACAACAATGTTTTTAAGTAGCCCCCATCCTAGTAGGATGGGGAGCCTATGGGATGCTGCCCCTACCTTTTTATCCCTCAAAGGATTGGACGCGCCAAAACTGCCCCGAGCGTTCGTCTGATCGTTTAAAAAAAAAATGGTCGCAGTCGATTCGTCGGATCAGTACCTAACTACAAAACTACGCCTCAGCCCCATGGCTACCGTCACAACTAGCTGTACAGTGCACATGTAGGGGAAAGTGAGTCAGATGGAACCGTCTCGGGCTTTCGCAAAGAAGTCGCGCAAAAAGGAGCCGATTGCAACAAAACTTCCGGTGCGCTCGAGTTAATCACTTACTTATAATAAATCGATATCCCTGATTCAAATAAAGATGACCTTAGTTCACTTTTTCATAACGTGCTTTTAATTGATAGGGTAGTTTTTGGAGCTGATTTTGAACTTAGCGCCCATCTGAACATTTAAGAAGTAGTTGTGTTGCTTATTCATATAACATGCTAGGAAGCAATCGGTGGTGGTCATCCACTATTAGGTACTGGTCGATCTGACCTGACCTGATCTACCGCAAATGCATGGAGTCATCATCTTCGTTCAAAACTAAGATAACATTGTTCTTCTGAATGCTTGAGACGAGGTGTTAGTATCACTGATGTTAGTTGTCGGACTTTCGTCCCCGTCTTGAGTTGAGATGTTAGTTTCACAACGTTTCGGCCAGTTACTTCTCCGGCCGTCGTCAGGTGTTCTTTGGCCCTTAGAAGGACCTGGATGTTGGTGGCGTTGCGCCGTATGCGTCATACCGTTCGAAAGCTCCTGTAGTCAGCGGGAATCGCAGTCGCAAAAACATCACAAAAACATCTCTCAAAAACATCTGGGGGATAAATGACACCAAGTTTCCAGCTCCATAACAATGTCTGCCTCGATAGTGGAGTGGTTAGAACCGTGGACTATCACCGGGGAAACCCGAGTTCGATTCCCGCTGACTACAGGAGCTTTCGAACGGTATGACGCATACGGCGCAACGCCACCAACATCCAGGTCCTTCTAAGGGCCAAAGAACACCTGACGACGGCCGGAGAAGTAACTGGCCGAAACGTTGTGAAACTAACATCTCAACTCAAGACGGGGACGAAAGTCCGACAACTAACATCAGTGATACTAACACCTCGTCTCAAGCATTCAGAAGAACTATATCTGATCGGTACGGACCCGAAACAGTGAACAACTGGCGAAAATGGGAGAAGCTGAACATCAAGCTAGCAAAAGAGAAGAACCATCTGACATTCATGTGCAGATGCCGGGATAACGACATCATCCCTAATGGACTGAGACTAAAGACACCTGTGTACACCAAACAAGCGAGACGAATCGGAGAGAAAGCCAGCCGAGCTCTCATAAGAGAAAGGATCGCCTTCCATCGACACAGCAAAGCGAAACTCGAACAATCAATATCTGCCATCGAAGAAACCATCCGATCAAAAGTAACATGCTCCGACGACTTCAACCGCATCAAATCATCAGTCATCAGGTCACATACCATCGTGGACCATGCCACAAAGAAGCAGCATATGACAAAACTCGAAAAACTGAAGAAGACCGCACCTACCAGGACTCCGTTACAGCCCATCAGAGCTGTAGTGAACCTCAGCAAGCGACAACTGTCGGCATCTGAAGAGACCATACTCAACAAGGGACTCAACTTCGCAACATCCACCAAGCGGATAAAGAACATGGACATCGTGGCCCCAATCGAGGAAGCAACATCCCACATTAACAGAGAACATGCAGAAGAACTACGCTGGAAAGTCAGGCATGCATTGGAAAGGGCCAAACCGCCAAAGGCCAATACCACCAAAGAGGAACTGGCAGCAATCAACAACCTCAAACAAGACGGCAGCATCATCATACTTCCAGCAGACAAAGGAAACACCACCGTGGTCATGGACAAGAAGGAATACGACCACAAGATGAACAGCATTGTGACAGATGGATCGTACACCAAACTGAAGAAAGACCCAACCCCGGCCTGTGAACGCAAACTAACAAAGCTCCTTAAGAAGAACAAGGACAAGGAACAACTCACGGACGCCCAGTACAGAAAGCTGAGCCAACATCACAGCAAACTTCCACACATGTACGGGCTGCCAAAGGTACACAAGACCAATGTACCGCTAAGACCAATAGTAAGCTGCCGTGGCTCAGCCTGCCATCCTCTGAGCCAGTTCCTCGTCAAGATCATCAACCCACTGAGTGGCAAAACACCTACATATGTCAAGAATTCAGCCCACTTCGTCTCACTGGTTCAGGCCATGCGACCTTCGCCGAACATGCAAATGGTAAGCTTCGATGTGGTGAGTCTGTTCACCAATGTGCCCACTACCGAAGCTCTGAGCATAGTGAGGACAAGACTGGAGAGCGACGATACACTGCCCGAAAGAACGACAATCCCGACTGATGACATCATGGAACTCCTGACATTCTGTGTCACCACCACCGCCTTCCAACTGGGCGATGACTACTACCAACAAACTGAAGGAATGGCCATGGGTTCACCCCTGTCACCGGTGATCGCCAACATCTACATGGAACACTTCGAGGAACTGGCCTTACAAACAGCACCACTGAAACCATCCCTGTGGCTGCGATATGTCGACGACACATTCGTCCTGTGGGACCATCGCGAGGACATAACACCGTTCCTAGACCACCTCAACAGCCTCCGACCCTCCATCCAATTCACAATGGAAACAGAAGTCGACAACAAACTACCATTCCTTGACGTCCAAGTGGAAAAATCTGAGGAAGCATTCAGAACATCGGTCTACCGCAAACCAACAGCGACCGACCGCTACCTCAACTTCAAGTCACACCACCCAGACACAGTCAAGAAAGGTATCGTAAGATGCCTGCAGACCCGAGCCACCAACATCTGTGGAGACGAAGCAGCCAGAAAGATTGAAATGTCACGCCTTACCAGCACCTTCAGGAGAAACGGATACCCAACGAGCTTCATGAAACACAAACCCAAGGAAGCATCCCAACAACAACCAAGGGATAAGCCCATCGCGACAGTATCCCTCCCATACAACAGAGGACTGTCAGAGAAGCTAAGGCGAATCTGCGGAGCATACAACATCAGGACGGTGTTCAGAAGTACCACCACCCTCCGCAGGTCACTCACAAAGGTCAGACCGCCAACCACCAAGGAGCAAACAAAGAACTGCATATACGACATCCCGTGCAGCTGCGGCAGGTCATACAAGGGCGAGACTGGCCGCCCACTGGCGGTCAGGCTCGAAGAACACAGGAAGGCCACCATCCGAGGCGAAACACTGAAATCCGGTGTGGCGGAGCATGCATGGTCTGAAGGAGATCACAGACCTGCTTGGGATGATACCACCATCATCGACAAGGAGCCACACTGGAAAATCAGAAAAATCAAGGAAGCCGCACACATGGCGCTGGCTAGCAACCCCATCAGCAAGCCAAGCGTTGACATCAGCCCAATATGGCTCCCACTACTAAGGAAATCACAAAAACATCTGGGGGATAAATGACACCAAGTTTCCAGCTCCATAACAATGTCTGCCTCGATAGTGGAGTGGTTAGAACCGTGGACTATCACCGGGGAAACCCGAGTTCGATTCCCGCTGACTACAGGAGCTTTCGAACGGTATGACGCATACGGCGCAACGCCACCAACATCCAGGTCCTTCTAAGGGCCAAAGAACACCTGACGACGGCCGGAGAAGTAACTGGCCGAAACGTTGTGAAACTAACATCTCAACTCAAGACGGGGACGAAAGTCCGACAACTAACATCAGTGATAAGATAACATTCGTAATCAGAACCTCGAAAAACCATCACAACTTACATTCGTTAAGTTCTAGCAGGTCCCGAGTTTCTCTACTTATTGGCGATGAGAGTCCTGAGATGACCCGAAAACTTGTAAATGGGTATCATCGGCTTTCTCTCGTCACGGGCAGCATGCTCTTTTTTTTCCGCAAACCTGTAGATCGATCAGGGGTCGAAAGCATGCCTCAGCGTTAGTTTAGTATACGTTATACGTTAGCGACTGGGAAACCACCAATAGAAGGGCTACAGTGAAGCAGAAAACTATTCGATAGCTCTTTTAACGCTCTTTCGCTAGCTTCGCGTTAGATTTCATCTCAGGTCTATGTTTGGCCCATAAGAAGGCAAACAGCTAACTGGACAGATTCTGCCGAAACATCCGCTTTGCAATAACTTTCGATTCCGTGAATTTGTATGGTATGTACATATGTTGTCTTGTCACCACCGTCTTGATCTCTTTGAGACGCGTCACAGAGTTAAAATTTGACCATTCAGAATTAACGTTAAAACGACCTCAGGTCAACGTTATGTCCTGATCGAAAAAGGACCTCCTGCTGCATATTAATGGATCCGTGTTGTTGAGCTGAACAGTGAACACCTTCCAGGTGCTGTCATCGCTCTACCGCGTCTTCGTCAAAAGTTGTAGAAAAAAATGCTGGTGGCCATCGATGGACATTTCCACTAATGACCTTTCGAGTCATCACTCGCCATAAGTTGCACCCTGTCCCTGGCAATGATGAGCTGATTTGTCATGGCTCCAAAGATATTTTGCGTTTCTGACGAACTTTTTCAAAGCAGGAGGCATGTGCTTTTTCTAATTTCTCATTATTTTCTAATGATGAGGTCACGTATTTGACCTGCCTTCAGATCATAGATGTAAATCCTCAGTTAGAATCATGAATGGCTGACACGTATAACCCCATACATTAGGTACCTATACAGTGTACCAAATTTCGAAGTTATGGGAGAAAAGCTACAAGAATGGCGAGAGGGGAAAGTTTTTTATAGAGGTATACCGTATAACTGAACTTGACATGGCGACCTGACCTTAAGTGACCAGTGATAATTTTTACGCAAGTGATGGTAGGTATACCTTCCTAATAGGTTATACCAAATTTGGCGGCGCTGCGCGCCGATTTGTTACACACGCACACACACACATACGCACGCACAAAACTGGGAAGTGTGGCAAAAAAAAATCACCCCTACCCATCGGGTGAAGAGTAGAAACCCGACCCCCCCACTCAAAAATCCGTGGCGACGCCCCTGCAGGCCGCCAAACAGATGGGGTGGCATATTACAGTATCATGCACACATCACACTTACACACTCATTTACACAAATAAATGATATCATGCAACCCAGCCAATGTAGGTATGCGCCCTAGTTTGGGCACATATTCTTACACACTTGTGTGTACTCAATTCAAACATGATAAAATGCCATGATGCACACCCAACAGTGTAGGTGTGCAACAAGGTCCATTCTCATTCTCTTACAAACTTGTGTGTACTTAGTTCAACATAATTAAATGCCATTATGCACAAGAGTAGGCATGAACAGAATGTCATACACTTACCCATTACACACTTGTGTGTACTTCTGTCACACTTGTCAATTGTCACAATGTACACTGCACGGGGCGTACCTAATCAATGTAGGTACGCACCTAAGATATAAACATTCACACTTACGTACAAATACATGCACATGCAATTATACATATACATACTACATACATTATAGACACTTGTATACGTATCTAGGCAAATATACATATTCATTACCATAGGCATGGTAGCGTAGGTATAGGATGAGAAGTCAAAGACATCGCCTGTGAGTAATGCGTTTATCAATACTCAGTATTTATTAATTAAACGCTCTTTTACAATTCTTTTCAATGTATGTTTGGAAGGAGGTACATGTTGAATTTGAGGAAACAGGGGGGTTATAATTTCATTCCAAACTCTAGGTCCAGTCCATGCTATTGTTTGCGTTTTATACTTTTTGTAAGTAAATATTTCTTCAAAATGTCTAGCAGAGCGATTGCTTCTGCCGATGGGATGAAACCTGAACATCCGATCTATTCCATCTGGTAGATTATTGCATATTTTTCTATGCAAGATGAGTAGCATTTGCTGATTTCCAATGTCTTTTATCTTGAGAAGCTTAAGTTTTTTGAAAATTGGATCAGCATGTGCCATCCTCGGCTGACCATCTATAACTCTTATAACACGTTTTTGGAGTTTTTCAATTTTTGACAAGCTTGATGAGTATGTATTACTATAAATAAAGCAACAGTAATTGACATACGATAAGAACAAAGCATTGTAAAGCAGTAACAAATGGTCACTGCTTAGAAAATATTTTACTTTGGTAATCATACCAACATTTCTACACAGCACGGTACATAGCTTGTTGATGTGTGTGTTCCACTTCATATCTTCATCAATAAACATTCCAAGGTATTTAACAGTTCCAGTCCTTTGAATTTCGACACCTCCTAGTTTCAGCATTACATCCTGTCTGTTTTTCTTGTTTGAATATATTTGGTACAAGGTTTTATCTGTGTTAACTGATAGCTGGTTTGCAGAAAACCATTCGGATATCTTGGGCATAATGGCATCGATGGAACTTTGTAAATCTGCTTCATTTTCACATGTTCATACATGACCTTAAAGATGCACTCTGAGTCACGGTCAGGGACACAGCTGTCGTGAACCCGCAGCAGGTTGACAGACATCCTACCTCTTGTCGCCGGGGAACCACCACAACCAATTACATACCAGCCAAGACACGTCCTCACACCACAGAGGCCCTCCTCACCGGAAGGCGGAGACCTCACCTCTCTGGGAACAATCAGAGTAGCGCAGTTGGAGCCGAGCAGCAACTCCACTGGGGCATCCACCTCATGGAGCTCCACACCCTGCAGGTGGGCAGCGGCTCTGAGCTCACTCACCCGGCACCGATCGGACTGCGTCACAGGGATCCTGTCGATAGTCAGGAGCGGCGGCAGGGGAAGGAACTCTGCTCCGTCCAGACCGCAGACCTCCAACCCAGAGGCCAGCGAGGTCTGCATCACCCTCCGCTCGTTCCCAACCGTCTCGATGGAGATGGAAGTGTCATCCCTTCTCACCTTCAAACGCCGCGCCAGCGACTCAGTCAAGAAACTACCTGACGAGCCAGAGTCCAAGAACCCATTCACCACCACCTCCAGCCCCGTGGGACCCCGGAGGCGCACAGCAACCACTGGCAGCGCCGTCCGGCCCGCGCCGCGGATACCCAAGCTCGCACTTAAAACACCACCACTCATCTGCGCCCCAGGTGGGTCACCAGCTGCTCCCATCCCGCCGGTCAAGGGTCCCGCGCGCAAAGAATCAGACCCCCTGCCGGGCGGCTGAGCCGCACGCTGCTGCTCGATGGGGGCAGAGACTGAGCTCGGCTCCCTGTGCATCGCCAAGGGATGGGGCCCATTGCAGACACCACACCGGAGCGGCTTTCTACAAGACCGAGCCCTGTGTCCCCTCCTCAGGCAGCCAAAACACAGCTGATTTCTCATCAACACCCGTCGTCTCTCCTCCCAAGGTCTACGAAGCAGATCCTTACAGCCCTCCAGACGGTGCGCCGCCCCGCAGAAAACACACTTCTGCACCCCGGGCTCGCTCACCTTCGCTGTGCTCACCTTATGCCGCGCTCCAGCCTCACTACCGCGTCCGGAAATGACAGGCCTTGGACCGAAAAGAGGACTCCTCCTCACTCGCACCTCTGCTGCGACGAAGCCAACCATGTCTGAGAAAGTAATCCTCTTACCACTCTCAGACAATCTGTCGGCCTCTCGGAGCCACCGGTCCTGCAGATACACTGGAAGCTTAGACGCGATCAAGCGGAGGGTAGACGGGTGCTCGAACTCGTCCATGGTGGCGCCAGACATCGCATTTTTTTACCTCAGTTAGGAACAGAGCATATCTGTCAAGCCCCTCAACATCCCCAGACTGCAGGCGCGACCACTCAGAGGTCAAAAAAACTTCCTACTCGCTTACATTGTAGGCGACAGAAGCTGACAGGCACCAGAGACATTTGCTGACAAAGTCACGAAAATGGTGAACACACTGCATCGCATTTGTTGACGGCGATTTCGCACACTGCTAGCGAACAGACTAACCAGCCAATCCGCGGCGAGAATAACCCTGAGCGAACCAATCGGATGCTGGTGACACGAGGGGACAACGCTGAGCTGACGCCCCAGCCGCCAGGGAGCCTTCACTGTGGATTTTGTAGGCCCCAGGAGCCAACGGTCGTCAAGTTAGATGTAAGTGAATCCTAATCTATAATCTAAGATTCGGAATCAGGTGAGCCCCTACGATTTGGACCAAACTTGGTCAGTGGATAGAACGTAACGTCCTGATTACGATGCACCCAAAATCTAAGCTCGGCCCGCCATATTTACGAAGTGACGGATGTTTGAATTTCAAGGTCATTCGGGAGAGCCCCTGCGATTTCCGTCAAAATTTGTGTACGGACACTCTAGATGCTCCTCATTACGAATATCACAAAATTTAAGCTCGGCCCGCCATATTTACGAAGTTACGGAGGTTTGAATTTCAAGGTCATTTGGGTGAGCCCCTGCGATTTCCGTCAAAATTGGTATACGGACATATTACATCCTCCTCATTACAAATATCATAAAAGTTAAGCTCGGCCCGCCATATTTTTCAAGTTACGGAGTCACAAAATTACAGAATTTCAAGGTCATTCGGAGAGCCCCTCCGATTTTCGTCAAAATTTGTATGCGGACACATTACATGCTCCTCATTACGAATATCGTAAAAGCTAAGCTCGGCCCGCACTATTTCAAAAGTTAGAGATGTTTGAATTTCAGTGAGTTTCAAACGTCAGTAACTTTTGAAATAGTGCGGGCCGAGCTTAGCTTTTACGATATTCGTAATGAGGAGCATGTAATGTGTCCGCATACAAATTTTGACGAAAATCGGAGGGGCTCTCCGAATGACCTTGAAATTCCGTAACTTTGTGACTCCGTAACTTGAAAAATATGGCGGGCCGAGCTTAACTTTTATGATATTTGTAATGAGGAGGATGTAATATGTCCGTATACCAATTTTGACGGAAATCGCAGGGGCTCACCCAAATGACCTTGAAATTCAAACCTCCGTAACTTCGTAAATATGGCGGGCCGAGCTTAAATTTTGTGATATTCGTAATGAGGAGCATCTAGAGTGTCAGTACACAAATTTTGACGGAAATCGCAGGGGCTCTCCCGAATGACCTTGAAATTCAAACATCCGTAACTTCGTAAATATGGCGGGCCGAGCTTAGATTTTGGGTGCATCGTAATAAGGACGTTACGTACTACCCACTGACCAAGTTTGGTCCAAATCGTAGGGGCTCACCTGATTCCGAATCTTAGATTCTAGATTAGGATTCACTTACATCTAACTTGACGACCGTCAGGAGCCAACGCATCAAAGATTTTGAGCGGGCCTTTTCGGCGCACGTCTATGAGAGGTATGCTGTGATCATGAACACGTAGCAAAACAGGAGTGGACTCTCGCGAGTAGCGCGTGCTTGTCCAATTTTCAAACAAGTTTGAATGCTTTCAAGAAAAGGACTGGCGCCGTGATGAAAGCTGAGTTGTTGTATTGTGGTTATGAAAGGCAGGAAATAACACTGGAGGTAAGGAATCTTGGGGTGTCTAATTTTGCTGGTTAGTGGTTTAGGTACTTGTAAGTTGGATCAACAACGCTAGCCCGGTGGGGATCAAAAGCAAGGCTGTGTGGATTTGTTGCCTGATTTTGAAACACTTGCCAAAGTTGTCAATGAATAGATGTTTTTACTGTTAATGTTGATACAAATTTCATTTTGATTTTAATCTTTTCAGCCCTAGAAGAGCAGGAATTTCAATTTTCATTAGCTGGTAAAAGTAGGTATACCAGTCCAGGGACTCCGAAAAAATGTTGTAGGTTGGTATGTAGGTTGTAAGCTGGGAGGTTGTAGGCTGGTAGGTTTTCTGTTTTGTGTTGGTATGTTGTAGGTAGGTTGTAGGTTAGTAGTTATGTAAGTTTGTTTCAGGCTTAATTGTTTTTCCTTCATTCCGACTTCTACTCTTTTACTCTTGCATAAAGTGTTTAAGAACTCTGAATGAAAGAAAAACATTATCATTACCTAACCTAATCTTACTTTCTACCCTACCACCATACCACCTATTACCTACCAGCCTACAGCCTATCTACCTTCTACCTACCTGTACCTACAAGCTACAACTTCCCTACCTTAAACCTGCCAACCGACAAGCTCCGAAGCATACAACCCACCTACCTAGCACCTACACCTATTTTATTTTGACTTATTGTATACTATTAACAAAAATCTAATGATAAGAATTTTGGTTCAACAATATTAGTGGCCTTGATGTGGAAAAGGAACGTTTTGCAACATGTTGCATAGGTAGGTGTATTGTATTATACATATAAGGCACCTATTATTTGTTATGTCATAACAGGTGTGAAATCTCACCATATAGAACACAAATCTAAATGTATTATGGAAAAATGTAAAATAGAATGTAAGCAATTCTTAAATGCATCTGCACAAGATTAGTTACACATGTATTCAGTGTCCCAAAGTTGAGTTTTGGCTGGGGTGTCAGAGGGGCATATTATCCACCAAAAAGGGGTAGAAGGTGGAAACTGCTGGTTAGAATAGATACAAAAAGAGTGAGAAAAGATCAATAGCCTTTATTTTTATCCATGAGTATCTATTATGATCATAAACCAATTCCAAGTATCCACACAACTCAGTCCACCACACCTGTCCACCTGTTTAAATCCACCACACCTGAACTGCCTTTTCAGGTAACAAGGTGTTATTGGCTGAGAGTGGTTAATTGCTCTTAGAAATTGGTGGTGAGAGTGGCAAATGAATCTCAGTATTTCCCACCCAAATCAACAAATTTTGGGACACTGTAATAATACATTATCCAGGTTTAGGGCCACACTAACATTGGCGACACTAACATTAACACTGGCCTGATAAAGCCTAGATTTTTTCCCAATTTTATCACCCTAGTGCAACACTTATCCGGCCTCTGGGGGCAGGGGACACAAAGGGGGTTGACAAATTTTGTAGGTGACACAAAATAAGTTTTTTTGACCTCTGCGACCACTGTTCGATCCGCTCCACGTACGAATCGATCAGTCTGAGGGAATTTCCATATCGAGACTCGAGAAGTTTCACAGCCTGGCTGTAGCCCTCATCACCCAAGTGGAGGCAACTCCTGACCAGCTGATTAGCTTTCCCGCGGGTATACTGCTCGAGGTAATACAGCAGTTCCCCCTGGTCGTCCGTTCGGCTAGCAATCCTGGACTGGAACGCTCTGATGAAGAGCCTAAACTCCTCAACCGCTCCCGAGAACGGACGGAGCTCGGCAGGAGGGAGCAGTGAACGCCTCACCTGCGCTGAAAGGGCATCAGCCCCAACTGGAGTCACCGAAGCCTCACTCACTGTCACCCGAAGAGGCTCCAGTGCTGACTCATCCACCTGGCCCAGCTCGGCCAGCTGAATCTCAACATCCAACTGCTCTGCCCTAGTCCGCAGCCTCAGCTCATCCTGCTCTGCCTGAGCCTTAACCTTCAGCCTACTCTCCTCTACAGCCTGTCGTTCCCTCATCAGTTTAAGTTTCACCATCAGCATCTCTGCACTCGGTTTAGAGATAGGCTGACTCTCACCTGGGGGTTCCCTAACGTCCACCTTGTTCTCAACACGTGGAGACTCAGTCGGGTCCTGCATAGCTGCCCACAGCCTATCTACCATCTCAGACTTCTTACCTGTGGGTTCTAAGCCTTTAGCCTCGAGCTCGCGCTGGAGCTCAGCCAACTTAAGTCTACCAAGATCCTCCTTACTGGGCGGCGCCATCATGTGCAGGATCACAGGATACAGAAGCAGACGAGAGGGGATCAAGGACCACCAGATCCAACTTACAAACTAAACACCTTAACTAATATTAAAAACACAGTACGACACAGCCTAAAAACACTTCAGCACTGAAACTCACTACTAACTATCAAGTCACAGGGGCTGGGGCCGGCTGGGCACCACTACCCAACCTATCCCCAACCTGAAGGTCAACAAGTTCAGCTCCCCTGGACCACAGCTCACCAAAGCCGCTCCACGTTGAGTCGCTCCTCAGCAGCCCACCAGTCGGCCGCCAGACGCAGCAGCTCCAGGACTGCAGGGCGCAGTCGCCAGAGACGACTTGGACGCCGGGCAGGCAGGTCGGGCAGCCACACAGGCCACAGCAGTCGACCAGCCAGTCGTCGGACACAGCACTCGAGAGCAGCACAGCGCGGCCCCCGGCTCCGCCAGCTCACGCAGAGCCTCACCAGTCACCACACCAACCGTGACTCGCGCGCCAAACCTCACTGGCCACCACTGACGCACATCACCTCACTGTGGCCACAAGCTGCAGACGCAGCACCACCACGGCCCACCAACCGCAACCTGCACTCTGCAGCGCCCACTGGCTACTGCTCAGGCACAGCACCTCACCCACTGCAGCCCGGACCACCCCGCTTCACCCCACCAGGAGGAGCCCGATCTTGGCTCCAGCAGCTCCACGACGGTGAAGCGCATCATCCGCTGGCGGCAGTCCAGAAGGCAGCAGTGGTCGACCGCAGCACGCAGTTGCAGTCCAGACCTCAGCCGCAGCAGACGGCCCAGCAGACTCCAGCCGTAACTGTAGATGGCACAGCCGCCACTGTAGCAGCCACCACGTGGCTGAATAGCGCGGAGCGCCGAAAGACGAGCCGTTGACGAAGGACCTTTATTGCCCTTGTTACTGTGGGAGGCGCACGCACACACAGGGGTACACAGGTCAGTACCAAATCTCCCATCAGTAACCACAGTCCACACTGAATCCCTTCCGAAACGGTCACCTTTTGATAAACTGTACATATTACGTTACAGCGTTCTT